GTGCTAACGGGGGCTTGGGGTCATGTAGTGCCACATCTCTGGTGGGGAAATCAGTGACTGAGACAGGGACACTCCAGGTTGTTTGGTCTGCTTTGGTATCATCTGGATCAAAGCAGCACTCCGACCTCCTGCCCCATCCCAGGCAGAACTGGGACCCCAGCAAAAAGCCCCTTTTCCACACCTGACAAGGAGGAGAGAGACCAGAGTCAGGGTGACCCAACACAGTGGTGGAAACAGCCATGCTGGAGTCAGCAACAGGTCCCATGTGCCAGCAGGTGACAGGTAGGTAGGAAAGAAGCAGCAGATGTTGGCCTTTCCCACTTCTCCAAAGGCTTAACGAGGGCCAGATTTGCCCTGGCTTTGGTTTCTCCAAGTTCCTATCAACTCCAAGACAGCCCAGGAATTTCAGCATCGCTCTGATGTGGTGTCAAGCCGCAGACCACAAGAGAGGAGCAGTGGGTGCCAGGGAGCACAGCACCACATCTGGGCAGCCCATCTGGTGTGGCAGCTGCCAACACTTGCTCCTGGCTGAATCCAGCCCTCGAGCCCTGGGGGAGCTGCACCAAGGCTTCATCCAGCCTCTCCAGAGCTCTGCCCTGGCCTCCGGAGGAACAGCTACACTGTGCGTGGTCCTGCTTTGCCAGGGTGGGTGACAGCACTGCCCAGGAGGAAGGGGAGGCAAAAAGTGCTGGACTTCTTCCAAAGTGACCATATGTCTGAGCACAATGCACTGGGGAGCATCCTGGTCTGGGGAGTGTCCTACAGCACCAGGAATACCAGCCATGGACCCTTCAGGGTGACAACAGTGTCAGAAGGTAGCACTGAGCCATACACCATGTGGTGCTGTGTCCCTACAGATGCTGACCCATTCCCTACATCCCCTGGGTTTGGGCAGGGGAGGAGGCAGTGGCAGAGGATTCTAACCCGCTGCCTTTCCCCACCTCGGGGCCTTTCCGCCCCCGTCCCACGCACTCTTCCTAACCCCCACAACGAACCTTGGTATTAAATGTGCTCGGCAGAGCCCCCGGGAGGCAGAGACAGGCTCCTGGGTGAATACTAATAGCGATGCCGTCCGGCCGCCCCAGACTTTCCCACACATCTGCAGCCACTTAATGTGGGAATTGGGAATCGTTAACCCTCTGCTTACACAGTGCCTGAAACACGGTGAAGGAGTGAAGCACAGCCAGGACACTCCCCACCAGCGCAGGGGGAATCCCATCCCAACACAGTGAGAGCAGGGACCCCACTGTGCTGGAAAGCAATGAGGGATGCCAGCATGTGTCCAATGCCCCCTTGAGGATAGTCCCAAAGTTTGTGGCATTTGCATTTGCCAGGAAAGCTGCTCCAGATCCCCAAGAGGAACACAGCCCTGGATGGGGAGAGGGGAGTTCTATGGCAGTGCTGGCAGCACACCCATTCAGGCTATCCCAGCGCTCATCCCCTCCAGGGACAAGCTCTGCAGAGTTTACTTGGCACCGGGCCACAAGTACCAGCACAGATGTGGTTCAGGCACCTGGGAAGAGCCAAAGGGTTCACAGGAGTTTACATGGAGCTGATGGAGATGAGTCTGGGGCTTGTCCTTTGCAAGCAGGTTGCACTGATGTCTCCATTGCCAGGGAAGAGGAGTTGTTCTCAGGTAATTCAGTGGGGCATCTGTGATTGCCCCATCCCTCCCTTGCCCTCTGGGATGCTGCACCAAAGATGTGTGACAGGAATGATGCATGGGAGATATGTTCTGCTCTCCCTTTCCTCCTGCTCTGGGAGGGCAGCAGGAGAAGCTAGGGAATGACAGAAAGGTGATGGCTGGGCTGGGGTGTGTGTGGGGCCATGCAGCTCTGGGATGTGCTGGTCTGAAGCCACAGATTTGGCTGTGGGGGCAATAGGAGCTGGAGGGAGAGGGGAAGTGGTGGGGCAGGAGGCTGGGAGGGGGAAAGGGTAGTGAGGAGAGGCACCTACTTGACTCTGCAGGCATCTCCCTTTCCTGCTGAAAACATGGTGGGGTTCAGAGCAAGCTGGGTGACAAGACAGGACTTGGTTTCCCAGATTGAATGCCTCCTCCATGGGAGGAGGAGGTGAAGGAATGGTCTCCCTGCTCCATCTGTGATAGCTGCTTGTAGCCTGGCCCTGGGGACCTTCCAGCCCTCCTGCTTCCAGGAGATGGCATCACTCGATCACGGATAGGAGCACCGAGCCCCAGGGAGCATTGGGGAACCCTGACTGCTCTCCCTCTACACTGTGTCTGCCTAGTTACCATCAGGAATATCAGATATGGACAACTAGCAGGAGGTCCCCTGGCTGGATTTGCTGCTGGGGGTCTCTAGGGTGGATGGAGGGGATACTGCTACCTCTTGTCATCCAGCTGGGGACTTACAGGCGCCCTGGCAGTCCCTGACCTGCTCAGCCATGGGCCCCCAGTGCAGGCAGTATCCTGGGGCTCTGAGGATCCCTGTCCTTCAGCCCCAGTTGAGCAGCAGAGATGCTCCTCAGGGAGCCCATGGAGGGCTCCTCACCTGGCTCTTCCTTGGCGTAAACTTTGCCAGCTGTAATCCCCACCAGTAATAAATGGGTCAAAGAAAAGGAAAAGAGGGAAATTATCATCAGTGGATCTTTATGGCCTCATTGTCTTCCCTGGCCCCCTTCACCCCCACCAAGGGAGCTCGTGGCTCGGCTGTTGGCAGGCACATGGTGATCCTGTACCCCACTGAGCCTGTCACCTGCTGTCACTTGGGCAGGATGCAGGTGTGGGGTCCTGGCCCAGACCCCTGAACCTCACCTCCCAGTCCCCAGCAGCTTCCTGAGCCCTTGGCCTTGGCCCCACAGGATGGGAAAAGCAAAAGGGGGTCTGGGCTGCCTATCACTGCCTGCAGGAATAATCCCAGTCCCTGAATTGCAGCCACCCCTGGGGTGACACCCAGCAGCCACCTGCATCCCTCAGTACCTCCCACCATCCACTCAGGGGGGATTTTCTTCTTTTCTTCTCTTTTTTCACACTTCCTGAGCCAGTGCCTCTTTGCTGGTTGGAGGAAGAGGAGGAGTAAGGTGGCCTTGGCTCTCTTGTTTACACAAAGCTGAGACCTTGGGAAAAATCCAGGATAGATGGAGCTATATGGCACATCAAGCAATCTGAGCTGCGTAGTGAGCTGAGATCATCACGGGGTGGGACTGTGATGACAGTCACCTTTGTCACAAGGGAGGGAGCCAGCACAAAGCTGAGCAAGGGGCTGGGAACCCCGGGGGCACAGAGAGGGTGCTGCAAAGTGCTCAGCTCTTGTGGTGTTCTGGCCATGAGAGGTCTCAGGATGCAGAACCCCAGCAGTGTCAGCTCTGGGGGTGATTTACCATTGCCGGGGTTTTACTCTTCTCCTTTCTTGCAAACCAGATCCCTTACCTCTTACCCATCGCCCTTCCATCTCATCCTGGCTCCCACCTCCTTGCAGGGAGTGGATGTGGCACAGCAGTCAGTTTCTGTGTGTTATTTTGACACAGTCTTAGCTGGAATTGGGGCTGGAGCAATGGGATGAGGTGCCCAGGACTGATGCAGAGCTGCTGAAGGTCCACAACCCTGTGCTAGAGGTTTTATTCCCTCTTCTCAACTTCATCCTTAATTTCTTTTTTTTCCTGCATTTCTCGCTCTCTCTTCCCCCCCCCCCCCCCTACTTCCTACTGTCAAATTCCAGGCTGTTTTAGCCCCAGGAGGGTGAGAATGGATCAGTCCTTGTCCTGCTTGTGTTTCTAGCAGGTGAAGGGGCTCGTGCAGAGAAAAGGACAGAGGTGACCTTGGGGAGGGGTGATAAAACACCCTTCTGGACCCTCTGTGGGCTGTGTTTGTGACTGAGGAGAGAAAACCATGCTGCAAATGATGACTGTGGCTGTGGTGGTGTCTGGCATAGCTGGGAGCATGACACCGGTGGGGGAAAATGGTGCGGAGGAGGCTCCTGGATGCCAGTTTCTGCAGTTTCTGGCAGCATGACACAACGCTGGTCCTTGGTCCCTTGTCCCCTCTGGAGTGGAGGAGTGTCTGGCCTCACAGTCGATGAGTGGGCAATCTTTGCTGGGGTGTTTATGGCTGGTGGCCACCTCCCACCTATGGCAGACACGGCTCCATGAGAGTCCCCTTTCTGCTTGGTTTTCCCAATCACCAAACATATGGGGATGTTTTTGCTTCCTTAAGGCTGAAAACAGGTGAGAAACTCCTCTTGCCGCAGAGTTGTGAGCCCCCTGGAGATGTGTCAGAGCCCAGGGACTTCTCGTTGTGTCCATGGTGAGAGCATTCCCCCTGCACTCAGACTCTGTCTGTCCATCTGTCCTGCTCTCTGATACTGGGGTGAGCTTTGCTGTCAGGGTTCAAGGGGTGGGTTTGCCCCTGGATGGAGGGAACAAATAGGAATCCAGAACCTTCGCTTCCCACCAGCCCCCCTTTTCCAAATAGGCCAAACGCTGCCGCTGGGCACAGAAAAGCCCCGTTCAGAGCAAGAGTTTAGTGTTCCCCAGCGTGGAGACAGGGCAGGTGGCAGGCACAGCCCAGCCTGTCCCCTGCCCACAGCCAGGTTTTAATGCTGGGTCTCAGCCCAAGGCATCCTGCTCCTGGGGTACAGATGGTGGTGGGCTCCTTGGGGCATCCTTATAGGTGACACCTGTGTTACCCCAGTGTCCCCAAAGCTGGCTTCTACAAAGGGACCACATCTGGTGGCATGGGCATAGTTGTGGGGTGGTGACAACAGAGGGAACGTGGGGTCCTCGGTGTTCCCCAGGGTTACCCACCGCCTCGTCCTCCTTGCAGCCGGGGTGGGAGGTTTGAACTCAGTCCCCCTCACCCGCTGGGGTTCCTGCACTTTGAAATGCAAACCTGCCTTTCAATGCAAATGCTGCGAGAGGTTGGGCCCAATAAAAGCCTGTGGGCAGGGAGGTGCCTGGCCCCAGGACAGGCTCCCCAAGGCGCCCAGGTGAGTGGCGGGGAAGGAGGGGCGGCCGCCTCCCCGCCAAACCCAACCGGCCGCAGTCGCGGCTCAGCGGCACAGCATGTGCGTGGGGTCGGCCGGGGAAGATGTATGTGGGTTATCTTGTGGATAAGGACACCAACATGTATCCCAGCCCGGTCCGGCATCCCAGCCTCAACCTCAACCCCCAGAATTACGTGCCGGGGCCGCCCCAGTACTCGGACTTCGCCAGCTACCACCATGTGCCGGGGATTAACAACGACCTGCACCACGGGCAGCCGGCGGCCGCCTGGGGGTCTCCCTACACCCCTGCCAAGGAGGACTGGCATTCCTACGGGACCACGGCGACGCCTTCCACTGCCAGCCCAGGGCAGTTTGGATTCAGCCCCCCAGATTTTAACCCCATCCAGCCCCCAGGCTCTGGACTCCTGCCTCCACCCATTAGCAGCTCTGTCCCCCAGCTCTCTCCTAATGCCCAGAGACGCACCCCGTATGAGTGGATGAGGCGCAGCATTCCCAGCACCAGCAACAATGGTAAGGAAATCCCCAACCCTGCACACTTGCGCCGTCCTCAGTGCAGAGGATCTCTAGGCTAGAAGTCCTGTGGGGCTGGATCCTGCTCTGTGGCTCTCCCTGCATGGGGACTACCAGAGGGACAGCAAGCTTGGCCTGCCCTTGGTGTGGTACCCAGTCCCCAAAGAGCAGAGGACCCCACCACCGAAGTGGCAGGAGCTGAGGATGGGCAGGGAAGGTGCTGTCCTTCCGCATTGGCGGCAGCTGGGATTATATGGTTGGAAAGTCCTTTTCCCCATCCTGGCACCCCTGTCTGTACTTGCGGCCACAGGGTAGGGATGGGCAGAGTCAGAGACACCCAGGACCCTGAAGGGGTGTTGGTGGGGGTTCTCATGCAAGGGTGAGTGTGTGGGGCTGTGTCTGTATGTGAGAGTGTGAGTTGGCTGTGTGAGAGCCTGTGCATGGTGGGTGTGCACATGCTGTGTGTGTGTATTTGTGTGTCTGTATGTGTGAAGGGAAGGTACTGTACATAAATACAGGCCATGTGTGTGTGTGTACAGAAGGTGGATTTAGTGAGGTGCTACAGCCTCTGTGTGTGTGTGCAAGGTACCCTGAGCAGTACATGTGTACAGACAGTGTTACTGGGTGTGTATGGGGAGTTTTATGGGCTCAGTGTGTGCATGCAGGGTGTTGTGTGTGGAGGATGGTGCTGTGCTCAGTGTGTGTGTGACAGGCAGTGTGTGCGTGTGCAAAGTGTTGGGGACAGTGCCACGTGGAGGGTGGACATGGGTGCCACAGGTGCAGCACACCATGGGTGGGTGCTTGGCACTGCAGAAGAGGGTGCCCTGGTTCCTGTAGTCACCTCTGGTGTGGGCACCAAGTGGTCGTGCTGTCCCCAGGGTCCTGTCCCCATGTCCCTGGGGTCCTGTCCCCGCTGAACTCCTGACCTGGGGAAAGCGTCTGGGCGACCCCAGTGCCCTGCCCACCCTGCTGCCCACTTCAAAGGCAGTGGGCAGATCCCCCTTGGGGCCAGCCCAAATTGACAAAGGCTTCTCTTTGTCATGGAGATGGTGGCTGGCTCCTTTGGCAGTGAGGTGAGGTGCAGGGGCCCTTTGTCCTGACCTACCCTCACCCTTTCATCTTCCCAGCCTGGTCCTGTCCTGCCACAGCGGGACCCTCTGCCCACAGGGCTTGCCTGGACCTGCCACCCCTCTTCCTCTCCTGTGCTGGCCATGAGCTCCTCAGAGCTCTGCTGAGGCCAAACTCACTGCAGGAGTGGCTGTGTTTTCAGTTACTGCTGCCCCACATCCTTGGAATCAGGGCTAGGGCTCCCTGTTCGCAAAGTGTCTCCAGTTTTTGGCTTGTTTTTGGCTCCACGCTATTCCCACTGGCCAAGGCCCATGTAAGGGCCTTGTGCAGAGGTGCCTGGGGTCTTCCAGCATGGAAAATAGCTACTTGTGCTCCTAGGATCCATGTGGCAGGAATGGGGACCAGTGACTGCAGCGGAGCAGGCAGAACATCCCGATAAATGGAAAAAAACAGCCCCAGTCTGGAAAGAGGAGGGGAGAGGCAGGCTGGTATTTCCTGTCCCATTTTAAGCACTGAATATAACTATTTAGGAAAAATGCCTCTCCCCACACCCAGTGATGGAGACCCACAGGCATGCCAGAGCTGAGGGCTGCCCTCTGCCTGGGGTGGAAGGGGGATGTGATCTGCAGCCCTCCCCTGCAGCTGGGACCCCGCCACTTCTGCAGGTTTTGTAGGTTTGAACATCTCGGTTTCTTTTGAGGAGAGAGGTGGGAGGGGAAATTAATGAGAGGGGACAGCCATCAGCACACCTCTCCTGTGGATCAAGGGCATGGGTTTACACCCAGCAGTGGGGCTGAGATAAAACAGGGGCTTGAAAGTGCCTCTGATTGAGTCAGACAACAATTGAGTTGATTGAATTCTGGAAAAATATCATTAGTTGCTTAGTTTGTATCTCTTAGATCAAATACAAAGGAACAAATAAATCGGCCTTGTTCCTCTCACACACAGAGGAGCTGCCCCAGCCTCACCACAGCGATGTGGGGCTGGATGCTGGGGTGAAAGGCCCTTTCTTGTGGGGGTTTCCTTAGGATGGATGACACAGTCCCTTTCTAAGGCACTCACAGATTAAGGACCTGTCCTTGCACCTCTGCTGGGTCCAAGCCCAGCGCTGCTGGTGCCAAGTGACTGCAGGATTTGGCCATTGTGGAACCATGTGCTGGGAGATGGTGGGATGCAGCTGGTGTTTTCCAGTGCTACCCTTTAAATAAAAGTCTCCATTAAGCTTGAAAGAGTGCAGGGCAGAGATAGGTTTGACATAGATAAGGGTGAAGCTCTTAGATGAATCATTTTATTGGAATCAATAAGCTGGACTTTAATCAATCTGGATTGATAAACTACCCATCTCACCACAGTGGGAATGGGAAATGAATACACAGACTTCTTCACTATAAATATCAACACCTTCATTGTGAGTGCTATAAATCATGATACTTCAGAGAGTTGTAAATTAAAGTTCCCTCTCTGTCTTGATTTGTATAAACAGCCCTTGGCCCTAGTTTGAAAGCTTTTGGGGAAGAGCTGCGTGGTGGTAAGAGGGAATGTTTTGCAGGGAATATGAGTGTGTTGGGGACTTCTGCAAAAGTGATCCAGAGCCTGAGGAAAATCAGTGAGAAACCTCCCAGTGACTCACTGGGAGAGTCAGGCTTTGCAGGGGGATGATTTTATGTACCTGTTGCTACATACATGCGTGCTTCACCCGGCTGAGCCGAGATAACTCAGCAGCACAAGGGATTGCAGCGCCGGTTGCTGGGAATGGGGAGTTAAAGGGAACTGAGCTGGAAGATGTCCCCGAGCCTCATTTTTCTCTCCAGTGTCACCTCTTTTTCTGCTCATAAAATCTTCATGAGCAGCGTGTCAGAGCCTCATGCTTCCTCCTTGTTCACAATTATTTGCAAACTTCCCTGTGAATTGCACCCTGGGTTTATAAAAAGCTCAGGAAGGTGGCTGGAAAGGGGGTTGGCTGAACTTTGAAATTCACCCACTGCTCATTAGTCATGCAAATCCTTAGATACTGCCTTGGGTCTGGCTTTTAGGTCACTAATCCAGCCAAGGCAGCAGTGCTAAATATTGCAAGTGAAAGTGCAATTGGGGCATCCCTTGGGGAGGCAAATGTGCTCAGGGCTTCACATGGCACCAATGCCTGCGGTGCCTGGGCAGGTTTTGGGGTAATGGAGAGCAAAGAGTAGTGCTCTGAACATGGGTGAATGGCGATTTGCTGGGTGTGCAGTTTTCCATCGCAGTTTTCACTCTTTCTAAGTCAGTTTTCCGGCTCTGTTTATTTTCCTAGTGAGGCCCATGTGTAAAATTCCCAGTAATGAGACAGAAACATTTCCCCTGGACTGCTGGGGTTCATGCTGTGCTTGGTATATTTTGGGATGATGGTGGTGGCTGGAGGACAGTGGATTTCCCTGGTCAGCCCCTGTATGGGGGACCCCTCTTTAGGACATGGTCACTCCCTGTGAGACCCTTTGCTCTCCCAGGACTCTCAGTGTCCGTGTGTTGGGCCCCATCAGTCTTCTCCCCTTGAATTATTAACCCACAACCTGCTCCTGGCCCCATCTGGGGTTTGTTGTCTACTTAGCCTGCTGGCCAAGGTACAGGCCTCTTAAACTTCCCTAGAATTGACTTTCCTTGAACAAAAAGGGCTTCCCTGGAGCACTGGCAGTACCTACGTGATGGGCTTGGCTACCTAATACCCCAGGATTAGCAGAGGGACACTTTAAACCTCTGGCCAATGACAGATGTTTCCTATAGGGGACCCTTCAAGGACACCCACTCCAGTGCTGTTAGCTTTGTGATCACTTGGATAAGGGGCTGGATCCTTCCCCCTGTGCTGCCCCACGGTAAGGATGGGCCAAGCCCTGTGGGGCTGCAAAGGGGGAGAGGAATCCTGGTGCCCAGATGGGACCCCCACTGCCTTGCTGTCCTCCTCCTGCTGCAGATGGGCCAGATCCATCCAGGAGGTAGGTCAGGATGAGCTGGGTTGGGGCTGGTGTGAAGGCAGTGCTCTGAATCAGGCTGTTCCCATCCCACAGGCACTGGCTGTCGCCCTGGCGCTCCTCACCCTCCCGCCCTGGTGTGGTCTTTGACCCATCACAGGAGCCAGGCTGGCAGCACTCAGCTTGGCACCCATAAAACATGGGAACAACTGAAGGAATCTGCCAGTTGCCAAAATAAAGGATTGAATCACAGCAGGGCCGGTAAAGACTTGTCCCAAAATCCAGCTTCGGGCTGCTGCCTCTGGGGTTGAAGCATCTCCAGTTGTGCTGTCCGTGCCCAAGAACATGAGGTTGTGATGGGGAACTGCCAGCTCGTTGCAAACACCAGAAACCATCTCTTCATTCCCTTGGTGTTTGCACCTCCTGGGAGGAACATGAGGCTTGCAAGAGAGGTGCCTTTTCCCATGTATCAGGGTGTGGGTGCAGTTTTGGCCCGGTCACAGTGCCAGCAGTGCAGAGCCCAGCCAGGACCAGCCTGTGCTCCGGTGCACTGGTCTGTGCTCTCCAAATCCAGCTCTTTGACCAGGTGTGTCTGTGTGTCTGTCCTTTCCCAGCAGCCTGGCTGCCCTGAGCAGCTGTGCCATGCACCAAGCCTGGGCTCTGCCTCACAGCTCTGCCAGTCCCACAACCCCCGGGTGCACAACCCCCAGCCACAGCTTTGCACTTAGAGCTAAGGTGTTTGGGGAGGACAGAGTTTGATCCTCTGTGAGCAGGAGACTAGAAAGCCATTGGGTCAAGTGGGGCAGTTTGGCAAGTGAAACATTTCCAGTGCACGCTGCACAGAGCCAAACCAGGTTTTATTGCTAGTGGGTGCCCACAGGAGCATTGCTGTTTGCTCTGAAGTCTTTGGAACCAGGTTGTGTCAATGTTAGCAGACAGCCTGGAAGGAACTACCCTGGGGATAGGAGGGTTGCTGGGGTCCTTGAAGGGGCC